CCTAGTAAATACCTTTGTAGGAAATACATCCTTATACCATCTAAAATCTTGTAACTTTGGGCAAGTCAAATTAGTTTATAATTAAGAGGCTCTAGCTTGATATTCTCCTGGTTCACCTATAAAGGTTTTAGTAATTGCAAAAATTAATATATTAACTGCATCTTGTACAGTTGTATGTATTTGTTGTTGACCGTCTTGTTTAACTATCGTTTTAGTAGCATTTAATATTTTCTGTCTTTCTTCTTCTTTCTTCTAAAAGAAAGATAGTTTCCTTTTAGTAGCATTTAATATTTTCTGTCTTTCTTCTAAAGAAAGATAGTTATCCCACCATCCTTTTAATTGACCAGTAAATCCTAAGATTAATATATGAGCTACAACTGAATCAGTGTTACCTTTAGACTTATGGGCTGATGAGGTCATAATCATTTCTTGTAACATATTTATTATTTGATATTCTGATAATCCATCGATATTCCATTCATTAATTGATTCTCAATTGTATCTAGCCTGAGTCATGGCAGATCTATCTTCATATTGTATCTGGAGGTGATTGCCTAGGGTAAAAATTTCTAGTTATAAGTAATGGTGCATTATGAATTTTTTGAACAATAAAATTTTTACTAAATTGTTCTTTTAATTGACTAATATTCGTATCAGATTCTTCTTCTTCTTCTTCTTCTTCTTCAAATTGTTTGTCTTTACTTAATACCTTAATACTAGAAGAAGAGGATTATTCAAATAACTTAACCTATTTTGTATATTTTCTAACATGTCTTCTGTTTTGTCTAACTTAACTATTTGTTCGGCAAGTATTTCATGGGGCTTAAATATTAGAATTTCTGGTTTAGTAATTGGTAAGGGTCTTTGAATAGGAGAAGTATAGGGCACTGGAGTTTGAATTTCAATCTTTCTAATTGTGACGCTATTGTGTTGAGCATTTGGTTTGTGTAATTGTTTTGAAATTGAACATTTTTTATATCTTTTAATGTGTGATTTCTCTTATCATCATCTACCGTATTTATCATCTTAAAAGGGGAACCTATAACTATCTAATGTTGATGACCAAATTTAATTTCTTCTAGAGGAGGATGAACGGATGTAACAACATCATTAGATGTAGTTATCCATTCCTTAGTTAGAGGAAGGATGAACGGATGTAGACAACATCATTAGATGTAGTTATGCCAATTCCCTTAAGAAGTTTTTGTTTTACCGTTTTGATTACTAAAGACTTCTTTGAAAAGGGTTATTCTATATTATTACTCAATAGAAAAATAGAAAACCCCTGAAAGAAATGACATTATTAGACTTTTGATATCGATTCATGTAACTATAGATATAATTCTCCTAATTTGAATCTCTTTTTCTTTTGAATAATTTTTTTTTAAATGTAACTATAATATAATTCTCTAATTTGATCTCTTTTTCTTTTGAATAATTTTTAAAAAACCAATAACACTTATCTAAATTATAATCACTAGTCATTTATTTCCTGAGAAATTCTTTATTAATTTAAAATTCATTTTCACTAATAACATTTAATCAAGATATTTGTTCCATAGCGGATCTTGTAGGAGATAAAAATCTCGCAGGAGAGGAAGGTAAAGAGTTAACTAGTTGTTCTACTTCTTGATATATGGGTCTAGGTATAGATCTATTAAAATTTATACTTTGTAATTGAATATTTGGGCTTCGGGTAGATGTAGATAATCTAGTAGTTTCACAACTAAATACTTTTCTAGTAGGAATCTCTAAAGGAATGAATTGAGCATGAATACTTCCATCGGTATCTTTTACAATACTAGAGGAAGTATAAATATTTTCAACAGATACTGGATGATTAATTTCTTGGAGATCCCATGAATTTTTTTGGGTTAATTCGTGCCATTTTAACCTTTTAGGAGTGTGTACTTTTGTATGTTGGGTATTAGCTTCAAAAATAATTATTTCATTCCTAGTTAAAGTGTGTCTAGAGCTAGGATCTAGGGCAGTTATCATAACTTTGTAGTAAATTCTATATATAACTACTATAGATCTAGTATTATCTGAAAAATTCATATTTTTAGATTTAACTGTTAAAGTTAAAGCATGTAAAATATTTGGATCATAAATAGACAAAGAATAGTTTGGATAACAATTAAAATAGATAGGACCATTAGCTAAATTAAATTCAATCATAGCTACAAGAGAATTTGAAAAATTCAAATGTTTTGCATCTCGTAAACATGCAAAAGTAGGAATATCTAAACCAACTCGACATAAATGTTTAATTGCAACTTGAACAATACCTGTATGCAAAATTTTATTTTTCTTTGTGCTTCAAAATAGTTTGGAGAGAAAACAATTGAATATTTTCATGCATATGGCTTAATGAAACAGATTGTTCGGTTTGTTTAATTGAATAATAAGAAAGAAAATCTAATGAACCAATTTTGTAAAATAGTATTAACATCATATTTTGGGATAGACCAATTATATAGCTGATTTTCCACGTGAGCGATATTCATTTCTTGGGTATTCAAATCACTAAGGCTAGAACTAGAGTCATTAATGTTTAAAGACTTATTATTAGAAATAAGATTTAATAATATACTCATTTTGCAATTAATACTTTTAACCAAAGACTATTGATTACTGGGATCACTTTTACAAGACCACTAATCACATGGCTGACCAACGCTTTCACCGACTGACCAATAATAATTCAATAGTTTCGTAACCACGACTACTGATAGCCTAACTAGTAGATTTCTATATCTTATCTCTAATAATTAATTTTCAAATAATTAATAAATGTGAACCTAAACTAAAATGACATAGTTTTGTTTGTGGATTCATTTAAACCTCTACATCAAAACTATGTGGTTTGATAGCAAAATAATAATAATAATTATTATAGCTATTAATTAAAATGCTATAATTATATTTCAATATTATAGTAATTGTAATATCAGTGATATTAGGTAAAGTATTAAGTTTAATATCTATAATCTATACTATATGTAAATGTAGGAATAAAGGAGAATAATATTTTCCGATAGCACCCTTAATAAAATTTTAAATATTCTAAAATACATTTAATGACGGTCAATTAAAATTACAGTTTATTAATTAAGTAAATATTTAAATAAATACATATAGATAATTAAACATTTCAAAAATTTTAAGTTTTATCTTTTTTAAATTTATTTTTTTAGATATAAACAATTTCAAAAAAATTTAAGTTTATCTTTTTTAAATTTTATTTTTTAATAAATATATATGATAGTTGAAAGATTTTTTATATTTTATTTTTTTTGAATTTATTATTTATTTGATTTTATTTTAGATTATAATTAAAGTCATTTTATTTAGAAAGAAAATAAGAAATAGAAAAAAGATGTATTTTTAATTAATTTTTTCCTTTTATGTTTTGGTAATGATATTTTTTAAAATAAATTTTCAAGATAGAATAATTTTTAAAATATAAATTTTTGAAATTATAGTGCATTATTAAATATTTTAGAACGATTATACTAAAATAAAAAATAATTACTTAATAAGGTTTTATAGTTTTTCTTTTATATTTATTGTAGAAACACCAATTAATAAATATTAATTTAATTTTAAATATATTTATTTAATTTTTTTTTCTTTATGTTTGTATGATATTTTTTAAAATAAATTTTCAAATAGAATAAATTTTTAAATATAAATTTTTGAAATTATATTGCATATAAATATTTTAGACGATTATCTAAAATAAAAATAATTACTTAATAGGTTTAATAGTTTTCTTTTATTTATTGTAGAAAACAACCAATTAATAAATATATAATTTTAATTTTTAAATATATTATTTAATTTAAAACTTTAGAAAAGTATTACTCATTATTTATAATTTACGTTAAAAATCATATTACTATTTACTAATAAATATTAAGATGATGTGAGATTCTAAGTGTAATTAATTTAAGTACACTTCATTAATTATTAATTAACAATGAATTTGATATTTAGGAAGGAAACTTAAATTTAACTCAATTTTCAATTTAGCAATTTTTCCTATATAATTTTTTTTATATCATAACTTACGAAATATTAAACTTATATACTCAATTAATCATTTAAACGTATTAGTATTTTAATTATAGCTTTTTAGTCATAGTTTTAGTTTGTATTATTATCATAATTCTATAATTACAACTATTTCTAAAACTAATTAATATTTTAATAGCATTATAATTGATAATTACAATATTTTTACAAAACATGTGTATGTTGTATTATATCTAATATTGTTATAACAATTAATTCAAATAATATAATAATTATTATCTTTGTAATAACTAATAATTAATAATAGTATAGTTAATTATAATTACAATTAATGACTAACATTTAATCATTAAAACTATGTAGCATTTTGAAATTTAAGTTCAATATAATTTTTAATGTGGGAACTGAAACTGGAACTCGATGGTTCTTAAATTATTTGATTCTGGTTCTGGTTTCAAATCTAATAAAAATTGAAATATGATTTTGATTTCGATTCTTGTCGAGAATTAAACCAAAACCAGATTCTTGTCGAGAATTGAATCAAAATCAGATTCTTGTCGAGAATTGAACCTGAACCGAGCAACCCTACAAGTTAATATTTTGTGAAAGGAGATTTAACGTAATAATTAATACTTTAGTTTCATGTTATTTCAAATTACTTCCTCTTTTTCATTACTCTAGACAAATTTTTTTTTTTTTTTTAGACGAAGAAGATAAATTGATTTTTTTTTCCTTTTTCTTTTTTTTTTTTTTCCTCTATCAATAAATGAGTGATAAATTATAGATGGACTACATAAAAATGAACTTCGTACTTCGGCAAAATCCATTCAAGTAAATTGCCAATGTTAATGAAAATGAAAGCATCTTTGCCTAAAGTCATGAAACAGAGGGACACTAGTTTAGGAGTTAAAAAGAAGAATTGATACATTATATTCTAAAATTTCAGCATCTGCAAAATCCTATTTGAAAGAAGCCAAAGGAATGAACTTTCGGATTTGAAAGGAAGAACTTAATGCACTTTCCACCTACTTACTCTGGTAGGAATAAAACATATATGTTTGTTTTCCTTGAAACAAATAAATACATAAAGAGGAACATTGTATATATTAAAAAAAAATCAGACCAAGTTCATTCAGTTATTTTTTAGAAGAAAAAAAGAAAAAGCTGCACTATAGGAAGCAACTCTGGAACCAAAAAAAGGAGAATTTACTTGGACTTCTTTTCCTCTTCCCTCACTTTATATATTTTGTCTTCCTCCTTCATTTTCTTCTCCCACTTCCGCTTCTTGTAGGCCAACAACATATCCGGCATTCGCTGCATCAATTTGGCAGTGTTTTCACGTTTCTCTGCAGATATCTTATCGCATTTATGCCCTTTTATCTTGGTTCTCATCTCTTTCCTCTCCGGATCATATGGCCAATCTTCCCCTGCAAGTAGGACTTCCTTTCGAAGTCTAGCTCGTCTACGAGCACTAATGTGGAGTGGCGTCCATGCCCCTAGATTCCAGTAACCCCATACGCCCTTGGATAGTTCATCTTTACGTTTTGCCAACTTCTCTTTCCAGGGGTATTGGTACTCAAAAATGGCCTTTGCCGTAGTTTTCACAGCTTTGCTTGCCATTAAATTCTTTGGTTCATTGCAACACAAACAATCAGCAAAAATATTAGAACATAAATTTAAAATGCATAAGAGAAAAACAAGGAAAGACATTAACTTCATTGCTTGCCATTAACTTCTTTGCATATGCTTCTAAAAGCAAATACAGAAACATATGCAAAATTTTAAGATGCATAAAAGAAGAATAGGGGGAGAAAAAGAAAAATATTCACTATAAAGCTTCTCTAAGCAGTTATTCTTTCATCCATGAATCATTCTTATTCTAAGAACCCAACATATATTACCAAGATATTGCATGGCCATATTGTGGGGACTGCATAAGATTATTTGCTAGCCTAATCAGACTGTTAACTGCTTTTTTAACTATGAAACTGAAACTAAAAAGTAGAACACCACAGTTTGGCTTTAGTTTCAGTTTCAACTGAAAATCAAAATGAAAACTCTAGTTAAGTTGGATAGTGAGTGGCCTGAATTAACATACTGATTTGATGAGAAGACATTATCACAGATGACACATGAGTTGTATTAATGTAAGAAACCACTCATATCATAAGACACCTCAGAGAATTCATTTTGAAGTAACAACTTGCATACGACACCTCTCAATATCATAATCAGGATATGATAGAAATGTAAGTGTAGCCAATGTGTTTTAAGGAAACCAAATCTTGAAAGTAATAAGAACTAAAATTTGGGAATCTCTTAATACAATATCAAATATTATGTAGTATATAGAAATATTACAAAAAACACAACAGAAAAAATTATAAGAATGGATGAATATTATATGTGAAGACTGAATATCATGAAAATAGAACCCAAACTGAGCCACGACTTCATGAGCTCAACCTCAACTCAGTTAGGTTTAAAGATGCTTGAACTTAAAAATTGGAGCTTAATTTCATTATTAAAGAAAATCAAGAATACTTGGAAAATACAAATGTTAATCAAAAACACAAACACAAAATGATGTTCTAGATGCATATGCTGCTTGCGTGGTAGTAGTTATAAAGTAACACAACTGCATGAACCTGAAGGAAATCAATTGCAAGAGCAAAACGGCGGTTAAAAGAGTGAGACTTAACTAGATGTCCCAAAAGGAACACTACCTAAAGGTAATATTTAAAATTGCGCATAGACCAGCAGCTCAAAAGTTACTGCAAACAACATGAGGGGTTCCACTTAAATATCTATTTGTATTTACACACACACACACTCTCTCTCTCTCTCTTTCAGATTCATTTACTATTATATATTTCTAACTTATGTATATCTCCCTAATCTATTACCAGTCAAAATATTCTGTATGTTTCTAATTAATATTCATTTATGTACTAAAATATTAAGTACTTTCATATATAAAGATAATTGAACTAACAGGGGATTGACCTTTCTGGTATTCAATGTAATAAAGGTTGCCCATAATGTGGATCCTTATTAAGCACAAAATAAAAATAGGAAGCATAACTTGGCAGAGTGTGACTTAAAAGTTTGGAGTATATAGCATGTGGAAAAGGAACAGCAAAGCCAAACTGACACTAAAAATTTTCCCATTTGTCCAGGTTAAACAGAGTGAAGACCTTGTTGCTTATTTTAAAGACCAACTGAATAACATTCTAATCCCAATCTAGTTCTGATAATACAGTCCTCCCAGTGAGAAGAATCAACTTAAAAGAAACTTCTTTTTCTTTGTTTTTTCTATCCACCAGTGCAGTCTCCCAAATGTTTTTGGTAAAAAGTAAGAACATAAACAAGAAACAGACTTAAAGATCTCAATAACTGTTTAGGTGTCATGCTAACAACACTCTACATTTATGGAAGCTTCTTCAACCAAAACTGAAAGGAAAACATCTTCAGAGCCTCCACCAAATGAATCACAACTACATAAAAGGTGAAGCACACTTCCCTCCTGAACAGATAACAAAATTGCTAAAAGAAGGAAAAAGAAATAAGAAAAAGGAAAAGGCAGCTGCCTATGTGATTCATCGGCAAAACAATACAACTAGTAATAAATACGCTTATTTACTAGTGTATTGCGATGGATAAAACAATAATCTTCAAGAATAAAAACTTCAAATAAAAACAAAAATGAACAAATTTCTGCTAGCAATCACATCGTTCCAGCATAAGACTGATGAACAGAAGAGAGGGTACAAAACCTAATCAGATTTCAAAGAAAAAAAAAAGAACCGATTAAGCTAATTTGTAAAGAGATCACAAAACCCACTAACCTGCTGCTTCGACGATATGAGAATGGCAGCTCAGAGATATGTTGAGGAATGAAGCCACAAAGAAGGCCGCTCATGCAGTAGCGGTCGTCAGAGGCGAAGCAGTGATGATATATGATGCTCTGCAATTATTCATTTAAAACATATTTATATTTACTTTCTATATAATTTTTTCATGAGTAATAATTTATTAGGTGAATTTTAATTGACTTAAAAGTTAAAACTAGGGATGGCAGCGGGGCGGCTACCCGCCAAAAATAAACTACCTGACCCCGAAGTACCCAAATCCGTTAAGGAATAAACCAATAATACCTAGACCCGTTCCAAATCTGTTTAGAATTACCCGCATACTATCCAAACCCCTCCCGTTTAATCACAAATTTATTCAATCCAAAAAACCCAAACCCAAATCCGAACCCAAAGTGCAACAAAAAATATATAAAAAATGCAAAAAATAAACTACCTGACCCGAAGTACCCAGCGCCAAAAAATCCGTTAAGGAAATATAACCAAATAATACCTAGACGGCCGTTCCAGAATCTGTTTAGAAATTAACCCGCATAACTATCCAAACCCCTCCCGTTTTAATCAACAAAATTTATTCCCCAATCCAAAGAAAAACCCAAACTCCAATTCCGAACCCCAAAGTGCAAACAAAAAAATATTATAAGAAATGGCATAAAATTCAACTTCAAAAAATATAAAACAATTTAAACAATGTAATATCTAAAACAATAGTACATAGTAATATTAAAATAGAAAACAAAAGAATTGAAATTCAATTTAAATAGATTAATTCAAACCAAATTTATCTTACAATTAAACAGATATGATTTAACAATCAAACATTATTAGAAATTCGAAGTAAGAATAATAAAAAGCAAACTAAAAAGAATCAATTAAAATATAATAACAATAATAACTAAGCTATAAGAACAAATTATACATGAATGAAGAGTTTAAATCACAAATTTTATTCAAAATCCAGAAAACCCAAACCTGCATGGACCAAATCTGAACACCCAAAGTGCAACAAAACAAAAATATATAAAAAGATGCATTAAAAAATTCCAAACTTCAAGAATAATAAACAATTTAACATGTAAATATTAAAATAATAAAACAATTTAACATGTAATATTCTAAAACAACAGTACATAGTAATATTAAAATAGAACAAAAGAATTGAAATTCAACCTAAATAAAAACCAATATCTCAATTAAACAATTTAACAATCAAACATCTATTAAAATAGCAAACTAAAAATCAATTAAAATATAATACGATAATACTAAGCTATAACAAATTATCATAGAATGAGAAATAAATCCATATAGAACATAATAAAAAGTATCTCAATGAAAAAAAAATTACTGAATTAAAAAGTACATTAAAACAGAACAAAATTACAATAAAAACACAAGAAATTTTACATAAACATAATTCTTGAACTCCAATTTTTCAAGCACCAAGATTCCAAGGATTAACAACCAACATCATCTTCTTCCGCACAACAAACATACATTCAACTCCGTGCATGAACAAGAATCTGAAAAATAAATAAGAACAAGAACTCCACTATCCAAGTCAGAAAAAATTTCAGCCCTATATAAAATCAGAAAACACTAATCCCATGTATATATATATATATATATATATAAGTATATACTTTTAAGCAGCAGAACCAAACTTTTATTAACAAACCATCTCAGTATATGAAAAATTATAATGCAAATAATCTCATTCTAGTATCTCTACACAATCTTAATCATTAAATTAACAAATCAAACTTTGAATTAAACAAAACGCAAACATGTCCCCAGAATTTCACTCATATACCACGAATTGGCTTATATTCACCATCCTTTTTGCCTTTAAATAATTATTTTCATTAATATATATATTTTCAACAAATAAAACATGCACAAAACCCACAAACGAAAAAATAAAACAATAAACATATATATCTAAGCTGAACCCACAAATTAATTCAACAATATATTCAACAAGTCCTCCTCTTTGTCCGTTTATATGTATTTATATATATATAAAAAAAAACTTGAAAACGGAACAAACAAATTCCTCATGTATCCAACCAACAAACAGACCAAATACAACAATCTTGGAAATAGATAAATAAACATTATTAAATATCTGAGTACTCAGCTAAGACTTGCACTCAACTTAACTGGATTTAAGGAAAAAAAAGAAAAGAAAAGAAAAGAAAAGAAAAGCACAAACTCCTTTAGATATTGGATTCTGTAACGATAACTTGCAAGTTAAAAATAAACTGAAAGGAGATAATCACTTCAACTATATGTCACAAAAGATAGCAACTTTTCAGATTTAGTAGCAAAATATCATCAAGCAAATATCATTTTCTCTAACAATTGCTTAAAACTTATGGCTATAAATTCCAGATTTCTCACTCTGCCACTTCCAAGATATGTAAACCGTAATTTTCTTTTTATTTTTCCTTTTGCAGAGTGCCAATTAGAAAAGAAAAGGGGGGAAACATCACTTAAAAAAAAGGAAAAAAAACCAGTGATACATTGTGGATACCTATGAATTTCAAGCTATCAACTTCCTGGATTGGGATATGAACTAGCGTAGTAGGACAACGCACTGTCTTCAGCCACTAAAAATGGTTTTCCACTCACCGCGACACGAATAAAACCCTTAACCCATGTTTTTCATCAACCACCTCAATATAAAATAAAATAATACATTTTTTTTTAGCCATGGAAAAAAAAATTCCCATATTCGACATATGTCACTGGGGTTGGCGATGGGGCAGGTACCCACTAGAAATAACTACCCGAATAAAAAATGGATTTCTTTTTTTACTTATATACATTATCATTCTATTTTTTACTTATATACATTATCATTCTATTTTGGCGAGAGTCCAGTAGCTGAAAGCATCACTAGCTTACGCTCTGACCCGAGTAGCATGAGGCACGTAGAATCCCGTGTGAATCAGTGCAGAGACGGCCAGGAGGTTTGCCTAGAAGCAGTTACCCTTGAAAGAGTGCGTGATAGCTCACTGATCGAGCGCTCTTGCGCCGAAGATGAATGGGGCTAAGCGATCTGCTATAATTAATTAATTAATTAATATAAACTGTAATTTTTAATTAGTCGTCATTAAAAATATTTTAGAAAAATAAAAATTTTATTAAAAGTGATAACGAAAATAATATTATTCTCCTATTCCCATATCTATATATAATATAAATTATAGATATTAAATTTAATACTTTACTTAATATTATGGGTATTACTATTACTATAATATTGAAATATAATTATATATATATTACAGTTTATTAGTTGACTTATATAATTTATAAAAATTATTTTTAAATAATACCCCTTGTTGGTCCCGAGGGACGGAGGAGGCTAGGTTAGCCGAAAGATGGTTATCGGTTCAAGGACACACGGTGTCCCTGCTTTTTCAGGGTAAGAAGGGGTAGAGAAAATGCCTCGAGCCAATGTTCGAGTACCAGGCGCTACGGCACTGAAGTAACCCATGCCATACTCTCAGGAAAAGCTCGAACGACCTTCAACAAAAGGGTACCTGTACCCGAAACCGACATAGGTCGGTAGGAGAGAATACCTAGGGGCGCGAGACAACTCTCTCTAGGGAACTCGGCAAAATAGCCCCGTAATATTGCCCCGTAATCTTTCGGAGAAGGGGTGCTCCTCACCAAAGGGGGTCGCAGTGGACCAGGCCGGCGACTGTTTACCAAACAACACAGGTCTCCGCAAAGTTCGTAAGACATGTATGGGGGCTGACGGCTGCCCAGTGCCGGAAGGTTCAAGGAAGTTGTGAACCTGAGACAGGGGGAGCGGCGACCGAGCCCGCCGTGAACGCGGCGCGTAAAACTATAACGGCTCCTTAAGGTAGCGAAATTCCTTGTCGGGTAAGTTCCGACCCGGCACGAAAGGCGGGCAACGAATCTGGGCACTGTCTCGGGAGAGAGGCTCGGCTGAAATTGGAATGTCTGTGAAGATCGCCGGACTACCTGCACGGACAGAAAGACCCTATAAGCTTCACTGTTTCCTGGGGTATGGCTTTGTGGCCTTTCCGCGGCAGCTTAGGTGGAGGCGAAGAAGGCCCCCTTCCCGGGGGGTCCGAGCCATCAGTGAGGACTACCAACTCTGAAGAGCTAGAATTTCTTAAACCTTGTGTCAGGACCTACGGTGCAAGGACAGTCTTCAGCGTAGGGACACGTTTCTATGGGGCGTAGCCTCCCAAAGGATAACGGAGGGCGTCAAAGGTTTCTCGGGCCGGACGGAGATTGGCCCTCGATTGCAAAAGGCCAAAAGGGAGCTTGACTGAAGAACCCACCCGTCGGCAGGGACGAAAGTTGGCCTTTAGTTGGATCGGACGGTTGGCCAGTTGGAAGGGCCGTCGCTCAACGGATAAATAGTTACTTAAGGGATACAGCTGGATCTTCCCCAAGGAGCTTCACATCGACGGAAGGTTTGGCACCCTCCGTGTCCGGCTTCTCGCCACCTGGGGCTGTAGTATGTTCCAGGGTTGGGCTGTGCCCTTTAAAGCGGTTTACGTGAGCTGGGTTTCAGGCAACGTCGTGATGGGCACAGGTCGGTCCATATCCGGTGTGGGCGTTAGAGCAATTGAGAGGACCTTTCCCTAGTACGATGAGGACGGGAAGGGACGCACTTTCTGGTGTTCACAGTTCATCGTGCCCACGGTAAACGCTGGGTTAGCCAGTCGAGCGGATAACTGCTGAAAGATCTAAGTAAGAAGCCCACCCCAAGATGAGCGCTTCCCTATTCCGACTGTCCCAGAACCTTCGGTAGCACAGCCGAGACAGCGACGGGTTCTCTGCCCCTGCGGGGATGGAGTGGACAGGATTTGCAGATTCAAGAGAAGGGTCACGGCGAGACGAAGCCGTTTATCATTTACGATATGGTGTCAAGTGGAAGTGCCAGTTGATGTATGCAGCTGAGGCATCCTAACAGACCGTTTAGACTTGAAACCTTCGTTTCCTACATTGACCGCATAATTCGATTAGGGCACTCGCCATCTTATTTTTATTGGTTCAGCTCTTTTGGACAACAACAAACATGAAAAAAACAAAAAGCTTCTGCCCCTCCCTCTCTATCGACTCCAAGGATGGTAGGGCGGAGGCCGTTGGTGCACCCTCCAGTCAAGGAATTGGGCTCACAATCACTAGCCAATTATGCTTTTCTCTCATGCCTTTTCTTCGTTCATGGTTCGATATCTGGTTTGTCCTAGGCTATAGAGGAACCACACCAATTCCATCCCGAACTTGGTGGTTAAACTCTTACTGCGGTGACAGATACTTGTAGGGGAGGTCCTTGCGAAAAAAAATAGCTTCGACGCCAGGGATGATAAACAGCTTAACACCCCTCATTCTTATACTTTTCAATATGGGAAAAAAAAAAAAATGGAAGAAGGTCGTTCTTATTCAAAAACCCCAATATGAAAATTCCCTTTTACTCCACTTTCACACCTCGCGAACGCACCGTCTTTATTAAGAAGAGAGGCCGCTTTCGCATCTCTTAACCGAAAATGGTCTGGGAGAGAAAGGTTCCTTTTTTAGGGTTACTCCAGGGAAACAGATCCAGCTGTGAGACGGGGTGGGCGCCTTAGCTCAGAGGACTTTAGAGCACGGGCTAACGAACCCCCACGGTGTCGGGGGATCGAAATCCCTCCCTCGCCCACAACCGGCCAAAAAAGGGGAAGGACCTTTCCTTCTGAGTAGGAAAATCATGCATCGGGATAGCGGACCAAAGCTATTGGAACTTGGGTGTGGGTCTTTGTCGAAATAGAATGTTCCTCACTTTTTCTTCTTTTTCTTTTTTCTTTCTATTCTTTATTTTTCGTAAATGGTTTACTCTTTCCATAAGTATGCCCGGCCCGAATTCTTTTTTGTTTTACGCCCCCTAACTCTTCCTCAGCCGGCTTGGCCGGCAATAAGCCCCAGAGCAAGTACAAAGTATTAGTAACATTAGCAAAAATGTGTTCTTCGTCATTGAATAATGGCTTGCTCGGCGGTAATTGTGGCCTCTCGGCGAGAAATCGTATGACTGCATCTTTGATGCACTTCGCTAGTACTAGTACATTCTGAAAATTCTTAATTGGCTAGGTTGTAAATAAGCCCCCGACTGTGAACAAAGGGATATACCGGACTTACCTACACGAGTTATTGACGTGTTTCTCAAAATATCGCGAAACTAGAATGTGATATGATGAGATAGGAATGCAATAGAAAGAAAAGACACAGGAACGGGGTTACCTACTCTTAACGGTCCAACCGCGCACTCCTCCTCGAATTCTTTAATTCGGAATTGGAATTCAAATTCTTCCCCAAGTAGCGATTCGAACTACGACCAGTCAGTTAACAGCGACCGCTCTACCACGAGCTACTGAGGAAACAACGGGGAGATTCGATCCTTATTAGGTTCAATTCGTCCCAACATGACCAATATGATCTTCGAGTTTCCTTTTCGTAACTTCCGGAACCTTCTTTCGTAGTGTCTTCGTTCCATGCCTCATTCATAGGGAACCTCAAAAGTGGGCTCTTATTTCATCTATATTCATCCATATCCCATTCCATTCATTTAATATCTCCCCTTTGGTGTCATTGGATCATAAGAGATGTCGGTTTCTAGTCTATCTTTCTTTCTATTTTCTATATTCTATTGATTCTACATTAGTTATGGAAAAGTTTCAAAACCTTCCACTTCGTAACCCCCGGAACTTCTTCGTAGTGGCTCCGTTCCATGCCTCATTTCATAGGGAACCTCAAAGTGGCTCTATTTCATTATATTCCATCCAGATCCCAATTCCATTTTTATATTGTCATTGACATGACATAAGAGATGTCGGTTCTAGTCTATCTTTTTCTATTTCTATATATGTATATGGAAAGTTCAAAAATCATCATATAATAATCCAGAAATAGAAAAGAAAAAAGGGAGGTTAATGATGATTTTAAAATCTTTTATACCAGGGAATCTAATATCCTTATACATGACGATAATCAATTCGGTCGTTATGGTCGGACTCTATTATGGATTTCTGACCACACTATCCATAGGTCCCTCTTATATCTTCCTTCTACGAGCTCGGTTTATGGAAGAAGGAGAAGAAGGAACCGAGAAGAGAGTATCAGCAACAACTGGGTTTATTGCAGGCCAGCTCATGATGTTCATATCAATCTACTATGTACCTCTGCATTTAGCATAAAAAAAAAAAAAAAAAAAAAAAAAAAAAAAAAAAAAAAAAAAAAAAAAGTAGAAAAAAAATAACCATAATTGATGCAACCCAAGAACCTCCGACCGAAATTGTTCTCAGTTCAAGTAGTTTTCAATTATGCCTCTTAACTGCATCTGCAAAATGTGGCATTGCCAATGAAGGGATGATTCAGACCTTGCCAAATACAAGTGAGAAGATATGAGGTGGAAGGGAGAAGAGAGAATTTGCCACAAATCTTTTTCTTTGGTCGTGAAAATTGGGTTTCCGATTTAGGGTTTAGAAGGAAAAAGGTAGGAGAGAGGAAGTAGAAGAGAAAAAAAAAAACAGTTTTGGGTGAGGGGATTGAAAATCATCAATTTGACTCATTATAGCTGACCTGGCAAATTTTTTTTTTTTATCCACTCTGGCTAGCCACGTCAGCTATCTGATACTTTTTCCA